TGGTATTCCGAGAGATCCCCCTACACATTTACATTGGAACTACGGGAATGCACCCGGTAGATTCCCCCAGTACTGAGTGTTTACATTTGGGACTACGGATGTAGTATTCCGGGAGATCCCCTACGCATTATGAGTTGGACTACGGGACGACACCCGGGAGATCCACTGGATATTTATATTTGGGGACTACAGGACGGTATCCTGGGAGATCCCCGGTTGTTATCTCCGTGTTGAGCTGTATTCCTTCTGTGATTATTTGTCTCTGTTGTAGTTGTTGCTACTCTTATTACCCTGTGTTACTTTAATACTGCTTCTTTTCCTTATATATTATTGTAAATGACCGGTAGGGCCCGACCTTCCTCGTCACTGCTCGACCGAGGTTAGGCTTGACACTTACTGCGTACCGCTGTGGTGTACTCATGCCCTTTCCTGCACATGTTTTTCGTGTGCAGATCCAGCTACTTCGACGCAGCCCTACTACCCTTGAGGCGAGGTGATTCTCCAGAGACTTCGAGGTATATCTGCCTCGTCCCCAGACCGAGGAGTCCCTTTTCATTCTCTCTTGTAGTGATAGCCCTTCTATCTTTTCTTTTGATTTAGACATTCCGGAGTTAGAGCATTTTGTCGTATTCATAGCTTGTGATTCATGGGATTCCGGGTTGTGGGAGTTGTTCGATTTCGAGATCTTGTATTGTATATGCCGAGCAGCATCTTATACACTTCTATATTTGTTATCTTCGATTTTTATTAGTGTTTCTGCATTTGTTTCTTTTTCCGCAATTGTTAGGCTTACCTAGTCGTAGGGACTAGGTGCCGTCACGACATTTTCATGAAGGGCGAACTTGGGTCGTGACACAGTTGGTGCAGCAGGTGTAGTAGCATCAACAGCAACATTAGCAACGTTATTCTCCGTAATAACAACGTGGAAATATCCTTAAGATTGTTGGAAAAATTGGATGATTATGGAGAATAAAAAGTTTAGCTTGAAGATACTGTCCTTAAGGATATTTCGCCCACACCGTGATGAATAAAGTTAGGCGTATCCCCCAGGATTCAACAAGCTCTTCTAGTATAACTAAGAGCAGAAACAACAAAGATTAAGAAGAAAATCCAGCACAAAAGAAAAGGGAAGAAAAGCTTTAACTTTTTTTCACACTACTTCATGAACACAAGTAGATAGCTTTATATATATAGTCCAAAGAAATACATCTGAAATGAAAGAGACGTTGAAAATTCATTAAGAATTCAATGCTAAGAAATCAATAAGAAAACGGATGCCAAGAATTTGAAAAACGTATCGATAAGAATTCAAGGCAAAGAATTCAAGAAATAAGAAACTGTGATAATCACTCTTTTCAAAAGTTTAAGGAAATTATTATCACATTTAATGTTAGCAAACTGACAAACCTTTGGTCAATTTCAAGATTACAAAAAAAATATAAGTAATTTCAATACCCATTCAATGTTAATAAACATTGAAATATTAAAAATATTAGAATTGTTATAAAACAATAAAAGAAGGAGAATAGTATTGCAGAGAAAAGTAGGGAGAGAGAATTATTATTGATTTTGGGATGAATTACAATGTAATAGAACCCTCTATTTATAGGGAGAGGGTGACTTAGCCACCAAGTAATAAACCCTAGAATCTCTCTAAATATAGACATTCACCTTAAATAGAATCCTATTTATAACACTCCCCCTTGAATGTCTATTCAACAGATAACATGCCTCGTTAAAACCTTAACTAAAATAAAACCCAATGGGAAAAAAATTATAGAGAAGGAAAAAGGGTACACATATCTAACAATACGCCTTTTGGTTGCCTCGTTAAAAACCTTGCAAGGAAAACCCAGTGGGACAAAACCTTGTAAGGGAAAAAGAGTACAACACGTATTAACTCCCCCTGATGAGAGCATCAATTCACATCCTTAAGCATTTGCATTCCAATCTTGTGCACCATCTTCAAAAGATCTTTGATAGAGATTTGATGAACAAATCAGGCATATTAACTTGAATGAATATATTGCACCTTGAAATCATCATTCTTGATAGAGATGAATTATCTTCATATGATCTTGTTGGAATCGTCAGTTCAATATCTTCACATAGAGGTGAAAACTCTTGCTATCATATTATCATGCATATAGTTATAGCAAGATACATTTGTGCACAAATTGCATTGAGGATGTAGTACTTCATGACCATGAATTCTATATGCTTTAAGCAATTTAAATCCTTCGGGGATTGTTAAGTTATATAAGCCATATAATAGACTTTAGATGCATATCAAGTTTTCATGTCATGCTAGACATATAAGATATCGAAAACTGATTGCACATACCATTGACTTATACTTTCAAGTGTTTGAACTGAAGGTCCAAAACTATATGTCTTTCGTATGAAACAAATTCTACTCGAATTGTGTCTCTTTCATTTGGCCAATATTTTTGTGTCTATATTCGACAGACTTAAGATCCTCATCTATACTTAGCGCTATCATAGATGTCTTCGACAAACATTCTATATCAGTTTCAATATATTTTCATAATGACATAACATAGAGATCTCTTCATTCATATATTCAGGTACCTGAATCTCTCATGAGATTTTATGAAGTGTTATGTCATGTGATCTTCTAGATCACTTGCCTCCTTTATTATGATCATTTTGATCATTTGCTCATCTTCTATATTAAGAAGTTTATTTGAAACCGATTTGTCTATATGCTTTAAGCGTACCATAGACGTTGTCCTTCTAAAACTTAATAAGAGCATTTGCAATGAGAATATAGTTACTTTCTTTGGGTCAGCAAATGCGTCCGGCATGCTTTGCAATATATTGCAGATGAATTATCCTTTATGAACTTCAAGTTCATATTATTTTATTTGAGGATCAAGATGTATAATTAATAATTCATTCCATGTAACTTTTTCTCAACTGTTTATCATGTCTTTCCCTCATGTTAGAAAAACTAACTTGTTACCTCAACTTTGAGAATCTACCTTTGTGCGTTATGGTGTTAATCAAAATATACACCGCACAACAATAATAATAAGATGAAATTATTTGGTTCCTGACTCTGAACCACTTGTGAGGGAAAAATGTAATATACTTTCGTATATAACCTATATCAAACTGATATAGATAACTTTGTTCTCATAAGCAATAGTTTAGCTATTAAGTAGAGGCACTCAATAAATCATTTTGCTAAACCAACTGTGATGTAAACCAACTTATCAAGAAGAACTATCTTGAATAAAAAATCTGGAAATTATGCTCGAAATTAAATTATTAAGCAAGTTACCTCGCAAAACACCATGTTGCGGGTTATTAATAATTGCACATGTAACCATCTCATAGATGCATCTTATGTGGTATACATGGCAGGTGAATGGGCCCATATTTCACCTTTGTTATTTCCAGCATTCATGGGATTCAATCCCAATTTAGTTGATCTATTAATTTATGAGAACAAGCAATATAAGAGAATTCGTAAAGAACTTTCTAGTTCTTTAATATTTACCCATGTAAATTCTCTATTATTTTTGCACATCATACTTAAATTGATATGGCTAAACCAATTATGCCAACTGAATAAATTATCAATATTGATAAACTTCAGATTTACACCATGACGTGTGCAATTATCAATAAACTCCATGTTTATTATGATATGGGTTTTTATATCAATAAACATCCACTTTGTTGTGGTATTCTTTTATTTGTGTAGTACAAATTGGAGAATAAAGCGGGTAGCTTTTCACATAAATATTACCCAGCTACAAGTTGTAGTAATACAAGATATTAAATCTTTCCTTTATTTATAGTCTTAATATAATCAATCGCTTTCGCGTATACTTTGGAAACTGAATAAGTTTCTTTGAGACTTACTACAACGCAATATCTTATTGGTAATCAATTGTGTTTCTCCAAAATAGTAATAATTGGCTCTTCCAGAGCTCTCAATTAATTTTGTAGTACCACATATTTATCAACACCCATATGGTGAATATCTCTTTTAAAGAGAAAGTTATACCATTATGGTTATGGTCAAAATTATATGCAAGATCTGTTTCTTGCATTACCGGTTTCTTTTAACAATCACAATGCCAAAATATTTTGGCGTACAATAGGTACGTGACCAATGACCATTCATGCCATAATAATGACATTATTTTCTTATATCATCTCAAACCTCCTTTTAGAGGTGAGTGCAGTATATTCACTACCACTAGCACGTTCATATTCTTTGAAGAATGAATATGTATTCATAAATCAGATGTTGTCAAATTCACATCATGAATGGACCATAATCATCTATAGGTGCTTTACAAAATCTCATATTAAATCGATGACAAATATTTTTCACAGAGTGAAAGATTATTTTGAGAATCCTTATTATTCTCATTATCACAATGATGACGATTATAATTTCGTCTATTGCCACGTCCACATCCATTGATACCTTCACGGTAATAATTTTGTCTTCTTTCAGACTTATCACATATTGCTATCACATTCTCTTAAGGGAATGAGAATGGAGCAAATTCAATGGGACAAGTTTTCATTTCTTGTGCTCACGATCATACATGACTTTGATCATGGCAAGACATAGAAATTTTACCACTTCAGGTGGTTATAATTTCTTACAAACTCCATTAGAGTTATAATCAAACTTTTTTTTTGGTGAAAGAGAGATATTCTTATTAATCACCAACCCAAAATTCAAATGTACAGACTGTTCTCCTTGTAGATCCTACTCCTCACTTCAACGCTATTCTATTACATCAATTTTCTATTCTTCTATTTCTATTCTATTTACATTAGCTTGTGTATCCATGCTTTTTGTCTTTGTGATGTTGCCCTCTTTCCCAGGATTTCCTGCATGACCAGCCTGCATTCCTCTTTCACAGTCTCTATTAGCTTTTGGGGTCGTTGGACTTTGAGATTCCACAGTGCATCATTTCTTGCTTTCCAAATGTGGTACATTGTAGCTGCTAAGATAGAACTGGTGATGTTTCTGTAAGCTTGCCTCTTGAATTTCTTGTCATTCTTCTCCATAATCCTTCTATCTTGTACTGCTGCACTCCAACTTGTAGCCATTTCAGTATCTCACTCAGGCATGTCCTTGAATAGTCACAATCAAAGAATAGGTGCTCAGTTGTTTCTATTCCTGCCTCACATATAGCACATTGTGTTTCCTTGCATATCCCTAGTTTGGCCAGTCTTTCTCTTGTCTGAAGTCTCTTGTGCATAGCTAACCAGTAGATGAAGCTATGCTTTGGGATGTTGTTTCTACTCCATATCCATCTGCTACTTGCCCATCTTTCCTTTGTCCCTTGTTTCCATGTGTAGCCATTTTTCACTGTATATTTTCCATTGTTTGCCAACCACTTCTGCTGATCAAATCCTTCAGCAAATTGATCCTTGATGGAACAGATTTTCCTCCAGTACCAACTGCAGTCCTGTGGCGGTTTGTATTGCCACCAATCCTTCTTTCTTCAAATATATGTGATCAACCCATTGTACCCACAGGCTATCAGCTTTATTTGCTATATTCCATACATACTTGGCTATGGCCGCTTGGTTCCAAGTTTCACAGTCTATTATCCCCAGTCCACCCTCTATGTTGGGCCTACATATGAGTTCCCAAGCAATCAGTGGCACCCTATTTGTGTTTGTTCTCCCATCCCATAGGAAGTTCCTGCATATAGTTGTGATGTTCTTTGTTATCTTCTTTGGGAGTATGAAGATAGAGGACCAATAAGTGTGAATGTGCAGCAGTACTGAGTTTATTAACATCACTCTTCTAGCATATGATAGGTTGCTTGAGCCCCAACTTTTGATTCTAGCACATATCTTATCTACTAGCATTTCACAATCCATGCTTGAGATCTTCTTAGCTGAAATTGGAACTCCCAGATATCTGAATGGCATAGTACCTCTTTTATAACCAGTTATTTCACATAAGTCACCCAAATCATGTTCATTCATGTTTGCACTATAGATGTTAGATTTAGCTTCATTGGTTTTTAGCCCTGAAGCTTCTGAAAATGTGGCTAAGCCCCTCAGCATCAGTAGTATTGATGGCAATTCTCCCTTGCAAAATAGCAAAACATCATCAGCAAAACATAAGTGATTCAATTTAAGCCCTTTACATTTGGTGTGGAATTCAAAACCCTGCATTGTAGCTACTTGTTTCATTATCCTTGAGAAATACTCCATACAGATCACAAATATTAGAGGTGATATTGGATCACCTTGTCTCAACCCCCTTTTTCCTTCAATACTCCCATATACTCCACCATTTAGAGCTATTGATTTCACATTGGATAAAATAGTCATTTAATTAATTCCCTAATATTTAGAACTTTAAAATTGACTAAAATTTTGATTATTAATCTTTCCTTATTTGAGGTAAGTAAGGCTTTAAATCGATTGGTATTTTACCATACATAAATTCTTTCCTTGTTTAAACTCTATAAAATACTTATAAATAAATAAAAAGTAAGCTAATATGTGTGTTTTAACGATATTAAAGTAATTAATAGATCATATAACTTTTGTGCCTAATATTTAAAAGGTGACGTATTTAGGACTTTAAATAAGTAATATAATTTTTCCATGTTTAGTTCTTGTAGAAGTTAAAAAATATCAACCACGAAAGATGAGTAAGTACTATTTTTGCAAATTTTGTTCTTGTAAAAGTTATAAAAATATCAACCACGAGATCTTGAAATATATAACAAGAAAACTTTATCATGGATAAAAGGTGCAAATTTATGTGTAAAATAATGGTTAATACTTTAAAAGTTATCCCTTTCTTGCACCTAATTTTTTTTTATTAAATATAACTTTAAAACCAATTAATATTTTTTTATCTTACATAAATTATTTTTTTATTTGAATAATGTAATGTAATCGTAATTCTTTCATGTTATAATATGTGAACTATAATAGTTCATATTATATTTGAACTACGTTTCTCTCCAAACAATATTTTTCTATTTAGTAAATTTTTATGTATAATATCTTTAAAATTACACTCAATAATTAAAACAAATGACATATAATATTTTGAAAATACAGAAAATAAACAGAGAGTGGGCGAGAGAGAGAGACTAGAAAAGTAGTATTTGGTAACACTCAAACACAAATATCCAAAAATAAAAAAATAACAAAATAATCCTTATTGAGATGATGAGCCAATATCAAGAATTTGAATCAATAAAAAATAAATTATTTCATTATCGAGAACAAAATTTAATTTAACGAATTAACTAATTAACAAAATAATGCCAGCCAATTCTTTTCTAAATAGAAAAAAATCAAGTTGCAAAAAACTCTTAGAGTACAAAAAGTTGGTTTTAAAAGAAAGAGCAAGTTGTGGTTAAAGCAATCAAAAAATAAAACAAAATCGATGATGTAGTATTAAGAGACAAATTAAAATAATACATACTTGAAGCAATAAGGATGAAACAATAGAATATAATTTATTTATTTGTTATTTATTTTTTCTCTTCTTTTGCATTTGTTACAATAGGTGACAACTCCATATATTTTTTACATTGTCGTTAGAGAATTTTTTATTTTTATTTTCGTCATCTAGACCGTTAACGCTCACCATATCTCTCTTCGATCATGATAAATATTATGAAAATTCTTTTATTTTTTAAAATACTTTTATCGTCTTTGTAAGTTTAGAATATATTGGATGCAATTAATATGTCAAGGTATAACATTAATGTTTTTTAGCATTTATGAAATTTTTGCACTTATTTTAGCATCAACTGCTATTTTCAATAATTTGTGTTTCTTATATATTCTCTCTGTGTCAAATTATTTGTTGTGTTTCTCTTTTACCCGCCCCTTTAAGAAACATTAATTAGGTGGGGGGGGGGTTGGAGTATTTTACTCTTATTTATGTCTTAAAATATAGTCTCTCTTCATGGAATATTTATTTTATTTATGTGTTATCTCCATCGTCAAGAATAATTATCATTAAGGGTAAACGGAAAAAATAAAATTTATTTTTATTTTGAACTTCTAAAATGACAAATAATTTGAGACAATTACTCTTAGAAAGCACGATAAATAATTTGAGACGGAGGTGACAAATAATTTGAGAATTATTAATTAGCACAAGCCACACGTGCAACGCACGTACACAAAAGCTAGTATACGAAAAAACTAAAGGTCTCCGATACAGCTTGTCTTTAAGTAACAGACATGCAGGTGAATTATCAACTACAAATTATGATGCTAATTCGTCAAATAAAAAGGAGAAATTAATTGCAATTCATCTACATTCCGAACTAAAATAAGTCAGATAATTATATATATATATATATATATATATATATATATATATATATATATATATATATATATATATATATATATATATATAATCATTTTCCTTGTGCATTTTGTTAGGGGTGAAAAACATTTTCCTCAAAAAATGTATTCTGCGAATTAATTGTGCTTTGCATCATAAATGCATTTTCTGGATCATTTGCTAGCGTTTGACTGGTTATAAAAAGAGAAATTTTCATAAAGCACTATCTTTTAGTGGTAATTAGCTATCTATAAATACCATTTGCTATATTACGGATTGTAGATACGTTTTCTGTTGTTATAAGATGTATTTGATGTATTTAAGCTACTGTATTCATGAATACAGTAGCAAAAATAGGCGTGAATCAGGGAAGTCCAGCTAATCAGTTGTTGTATTCGAGTGTATTCGACTGTATTCATGGCGTGAAGCATGGGATTACAGCTGGACAAATTATTGTATTCGACTGCATTCACGGCGTGAAACAGGGGATTACACTGTTTTTAAACGGAAAGTGAATCAATTAACATAATAGACTCCTAATATAACTCAACAAATTCAATTATAACACATAGAATTTGTATTTTCATTTATAAAAAAGATTCTCAACCGAAAAATGCCTCAAAAATATAGCAATATTCAGAGAAATTATATAATACATCTGAATACATAAATTATATTTAATTAAAAAAACATATGAATACATTCATGGCATATAGCAAGACAGTGAATACAATGAAATACATAGAATACAGCAGGATACATTGAAATACAATGGAAAAAAAACAGTGAATACAATGAAATACATGGAATACAACGAGATACATTGAATTACAATGAAAAAAAAAGACAATAAATACAATCAAATACATGAAAATACAGCGTGATTCGTTGAAAAAATATTGAAATATATTAACAGAAAAATCAAGTTACTCAGCCCCAAACTCCATCGTCTTTGTTCAAGAAAAAACCCTAATTTCCGGCGAGTCCGCCGCCGAGCATAAACCCTCAATCTCACTGTTCCCACGCATCCTGTACAGTAAAAAGACTGATAATTTCGCTTGCCTTGAAAGTGGTGAACATCAATCCAATTGCCGTGGTCAGTCCTAGAATTTGAATGGCGCTTGTGGATTGGGACGGCAAACCCCAGATTGGGCAGAACCCTAGAACGACGAAGAGAAGAGGAAGACGGAGATTTATATAGAGATGAAGAGCGAAACACTCGGGTGAGTCGCAAGAGAGGCGAGTGTAGGTGGTCAAATCGGAAGGGTTGAAAATTGGATCGGTTTGCTGGTAACATTCGGTGCAGGGTTCACATTGATTTCAAATCCAAAGAGTGAGAGATGTGTAGTTTTTGTAAGAGAAGAACGAGGATAGATTGATTCAGAGAATGCTGAACAAGAAGAATCTAAAAGAATGAGAGAGAAAAATAATACAAAGCGTATTTTATGGCTAGGTAATCATAAATAGGTATTTGGCTATAAAAATCAAAAGGTAGCTATGGAATATAATTTTTTAAAATGGTATTTATTTAAAATAAATAAGGTATCAACCTTTGCTATAGGAGGTAAAAATTCCTTATAAAAATAGGTAACATATTGTACCAAACACACATGCATGGGATACAGTACAATTCTTTATCTGTTGATAATGTTCTCCCCTCACCCTTTGGAGAGCTACTCGCAAGCCACGTGCAACAAAGATCTATAAGATTATGTCCACCTTGTCAACAAAGTAATATTGTATTTAAGCATTAGTTACATCTTAAACAAAACATGAGCAGAAAAAGAGAGAAGCAGCCTGTAGGCTGTAGCCATACCTCATTTAATTTCTATTTCCTGTCTAATATTGCGTGCTATTTTTAATATAATTTCACCTTTCCGAAAATCGAATGGACATTTCTTTCTTAAAATAGAAGATAGAATCTTTCTTATATTTGACAGCAAATGCAATCAGTAAAACCAAAAGTAAAAACCAAAGAAGTATACATATGCTAAGCTTGCCCATGAAAAAAATATTATTTCCGTTACAAATTAACTGTTCTCAAGTAATTCTGAAATTTTAGGAAATGAACGTGACTTTGTCGTGGCAAACATTTACATTTTTGAAGGAGGAATATATCATTTCTTAAAATTGAAGATAAGTACATTATTTTATTCCTCGTCAAATGTTAGGATAATAAAAACTAAAATGCATAACAAAAATGTGCTTAAAATGGCACCTTCACAGAAATTCCTGAAAAAATAAATAAAGGTAGGGACTAGAGCTACAATCATAGGCCAAGTTTTGTATAAATAGACGTAGGATATCAACAATTCTATTCATCCAGAATTTATAAACCCTAGTAAGTGAAAGTGAAAGAAACTACTCATCCAAATATCTATGGAAAAGAAAATGAATCCCGTTAATGCAACCTTCTCTTTCTCGGAGCTTGATTTCCTTGAAATCGAAAACCATCTTCTGAATTATGATTCCGATTTTTCTGGATTGCCTAATAGTCCTAGCTCAAGTTTTGGCAGCTCCCCTTCAGCAGAAAATAGCTTGGATACCTCTCTTTGGGATGAAAACTTTGAGGAAACAATACCACATCTCGAAGAAAAGTCCGAGTCCGACGAGGAAACAAAGGGGCATGTGGTGGCGCGTGAGACAAACGCGCCGCAAGATTGGAGGCGGTACATAGGAGTGAGACGGCGACCGTGGGGAAAGTTTGCGGCGGAGATAAGGGACCCGGAGAGAAAAGGTGCGAGATTGTGGCTAGGAACTTACGAGACTCCTGAAGATGCAGCATCGGCTTACGATCAAGCCGCTTTCAAAATCCGCGGCTCGAGAGCTCGGCTCAATTTTCCTCACTTAATTGGATCAAACATGCCTAAGCCGGCTAGAGTAACAGCGCGGCGTAGCCGTAGGCGCTCACCCGAGCCATCGTCTTCTTCATGCACCTCATCATCAGAAAATGGGACAAGAAAAAGGAAAATAGATTTGATAAATTCCATAGCCAAAGCAAAATTTATTCGTCATAGCTGCTGGAACCTACAAATGTTGCTATAACTGTATTTGGAAGGAATTAATTTAGAGTATTGAATGTTTTTGATTTTGAATAGTCACCTAAAGCTCCTGAAGAACGGAACTTGTAAACTTCTCTCTGTCTCCGTATCATGTTCTAATTTAACATGATATTACATGAGCGCCTCATAAATATAACTAAATCTGTTCGATATGGTATCATGATAATAATTTTCATTTGTATATTTCTGTCAATTTTGTGGATCTGAGATCAACAATCTCTCTTACAGAGAGAAGAAATGAAGAAGAGAGAAAAGAGTTACTCTTATTACTGTGCGAAGAAGAAATAATGTCTGTACAAGCTACAGTGATCCGGCCACAGTAATAACCACCTAATTACAGTAATAACCGCCTAACTACTAACTATAGTTAAGTACTAATTACTAACTACAATTAAGTTAACCTGGGTCATGATCATTATATGGCTCATTACCCCCCCCCCCCCCCCTCAAGCTAGGACTAATGAAGATGTTCTTAAGGCCTAACTTGGATAGTAAGTGAGAATGTTGAACACTACTCAAGCCTTTGGTTAAGATATCAGCAGGTTGGTCAGCAGACTTCAAGTAGACAGTGTGAACTAAGCCCAGATGAACCTTCTCCCGAATAAAGTGACAATCAATGTCGATGTGCTTTGTTCGTTCATGGAACACAAGATTAGCAGCAATCTGTATAGCTGATTTACTGTCACAATGAAGGGGAACTGCGAGTGTGAGATTGACTCCCAATTCAGCAAATAAACCAACGAGCCAAACAATTTCAGCTACTGTGGAAGCCAAGCTTCGATATTTTGCCTCAGCAGAACTTCTGGAAATAGTACTCTACTTCTTGGACTTCCATGAGATGAGGGAATTACCAAACTGCACTAAATAACCAGTGACTGATCTCCTTGTATTAGGGCATGCAGCCCAATCAGCATCACAGTAGGTTGTCACCTGAGTAGAAGCTGCAACTGACATGAGAATTCCAAGCCCTGGACTCTGCTTGATATATCTAACCACCCTCAAAGCAGCTTCCATGTGAGAATGTTTGGGAGTTTGCATGAATTGGCTCAAAGACTGCACAGCAAAGGAGATGTGAAGCCTTGTAATCGTCAAGTAAAGTAATCTGCCTATCAATCTTTGATAAGCACCAGGATCCTCAAGCAGGCTGTCATCCTTGAGGCCTAAATGATTATCATAAGACACTGTTGTGAGCTTCTGATTGACCTCAATAGGAGCATGAACTGGCTTGGACCCTGCCAGACCAACATCTGAAATGAGTTCAAGTGCATACTTCCTTTGGTGTACCAGGATCCCTTCTTTGTTCCTGGCAAACTCAATCCCCAGAAAGTACCTCAACTCTCCAAGATCCTTGATTTTAAAATTCTTATGCAAACTTTGTTTAGTACTTGAAATAAGATCAGCATCATCCCCAGTAATTAAGAGGTCATCAACATAGACCAACACAATAACAATATGACAGTCTTGTTTCTTAGTAAACAAGGAATAGTCAAAATGACTTTGTTTGAATCCTGAACTAAGTAGTGTTGTGGTGAGTTTAATATTCCATTGTCTTGAAGCTTGCTTAAGCCCATAGAGTGACTTGAGCAATCTACAGACCTGTGTCTTCCCTTGTTTAGGAGAAAAACCTTGAGGTAAAGTCATGTATACCTCTTCTTCCAAATCCCCTTGCAAGAAGGCATTGTAAACATCCATCTGATATAGTGTCCAACCTCTGGCAGTTGCTATGGATACAACTGACCTAACAGTAACCATTTTCACAACAGGTGAAAAGGTTCCTGATAGTCTAGTCCCTCCTTTTGACTATACCCCTTTGCTACTAATCTAGCCTTATACCTCTCAACTTCCCCAGTGGATGTATACTTAATTTTGTACACCCACTTACATCCAATTGCACTTTTGTTTGGAGGCAATGACACTACCTCCTATGTCTTATTGTCCTCCAATGCTTGTATTTCTGCTTTCATAGCTTCAATCCATTTCACATCCTTGGCTGCCTCATGATAAGAACTTGGTTCAACTTCAGAAGACAATTGAGTAATGTAGGCTTGATATGAGGCAGAAAATCCTGTGTACTGAATTAAGTTACCAATAGGATATTGACAATGTGCTGTATGAGAGGAGTTAGACTTCTGTATTGGCCCAACATAATCCTTAAGCCAAATAGGAGGCTTTGAAGTTCTCCCTGATCTCCTTAATTCACCAGCATTATTCTCATGCTGTCCTGTAGCTGATTCCTCTATGTGTGGCAGAGAATGAGAATCCAATGGTGGATTAGTACTTTCAGGAACAAATTCTGCAGGTGCAGGATATTCAGAGGAGTTTGGATCATCCCTGTCACTGATAGTAGAAGGTAAAACAATAGGAGGCTGATCAGGATAAGGATCAACCCTCTGAAATTCATCTACAAAGAAAGAGGAGTCTTGAGGAAGACCTTGAAATGGATACACATCTTCATGAAATATCACATCTCTACTGACAAAGAGTGTCTTGTGTTCAATATCATACAACCTATACCCCTTTGGTGTGCTTGCATATCCCAGAAACACTGATCTTATGGACCTAGGTGCAAATTTGTCACCTCTTGGTAATCTTGCTGCAAAACACAAGCACCATATAATTCTCATATGTGACAATACAGGCTGTCTCCCATAAAACAACTCAAAAGGTGACTTGTTCCCTAATACTGTGGGGGGAATTCTGTTTATTATATACACAGCTGTATCCACACAAACACCTTAGCAAGTGCCCCTGAAATCTGATGGCCCTTGCAGTCTCCAGAACATGTTTATGCCTTCTTTCCACCACTCCATTTTGTTGAGGGGTGTGTGGACAGGAACTTTGATGTATAATTCCATGCATTTGGAACAGTGTTGTACAATTATGGTTAAAGAATTCAGAACTATTGTCTGACCTAAAGCATTTGACCATTCTACCAAACTGAGTTTTTACCATAACAATGAAATTTTTCAGTACTGTAATAACATCAGACTTAAGATGTAAGAAGAAAATCCAAATCCACCTAAAGTGATCATCAACCATTGTGAGAAAATACCTCTTTCCATTATATGTAGGAACTTTATATGGTGCCCAAACATCCATGTGTATCAAATCAAATACATTTTCTGCTCTACTGTTACTGACTGGAAAAGAACTCCTAGCTTGCCTGGCTAAAGGACAAATGCCACATGGACTTATTTCTGCTTTACTACTGCTATGTATACTAGGGATTTTCTTGAGAACTTGAATTGGAACATGTCCCACTCTCTTGTGCCACAGCTCAACTTCATTCCTGTGGGCAATCATCACCAATGATCTAGTTTTATTCTTGTTTCTCCTTGGTGAATGCAGCACATCCAGTCCTTCTTCTTCCTTGCCAATCTCCTTCACCCTCCCAGTGAAGAGATCTTGAAATATGCAGAAATTTGGAAAAAATGCAGCACAACATTTTAAAGCTTTTGTCAGTTGAGACACAGACAAGAGATTAAACTTGAAAGTTGGTACATACAAGACATTGTTAATAGTATCACCTCCATCTTATTGACAACTACCAACATCTGACACCTTAGTAGACTCTCCAGTAGGGAGCTGTACATTTCCTGCATTACCTACTAACAATTTTTCAAATAGAAGTTGTTCATTACCAACCATATGATTTGTACCTCCAGTATCTACTATCCATTTCTCATCTGTATTTGGTTCATAAGAAACATTACCTGCCATGTGTGCACTGGAAGATGATTCAGAGAGTGATGCCTTGTTTAGCAGGCTTAGAATCTGACCATATTGCTCAGGAGTGAATATTTGCATAGGCCCCAGACTCTGTTGCCCCTGATGATTATGTTGTTCAGAAGTAAATCCCTGCATAGGTCCCAAATGTTGCTCTTGTGTCATCATGACTGATGAAGATGGAATTGGTTGGTTATTTGAACTTCCAACCATATTAGCTCGTTTCTGAGGCTTAAAATCTGCAGGATATCCTATCAGTTTGTAACAATTGGCCCTTAAATGTCCTTTCCTATTGCAGTAGTCACACATCATCAGCTTGTAGCATTCCTCCTTAGTATGACCTTTTAAATGGCAGAAATCACATTCAACATTGAAATTTCTTCTTTGTTTTTGACCAATCTTAGAGCTGAATAGGGCAGTAGGATCAATGGACTCAGCACTATAACTGCCACCTGCTACTAGTCTTTGACTTTCATCTTGAAGGATCATAGCATAGGCTTGATTGACAGTTGGAATTTTAGATTTCATTATTATTTGGCTACGAGCTTGACTGTAGCTATCATTTAATCCCATTAAAAATTGCCACAAACGTTGAAACTACTGTCGTTCAATGAATTTCTTCGACTTATCACAGCAAACAGGGGGAGGCATAATCGAGTCATATTCATCCCACAAATCCTTCAATTTCGAGTAGTAGACTGAAACAGAAGATGTACCTTGTGTTAATGAAAAAATCTCCCTGTGCAAGTAGTACATTCTCGATGCATTAACCTTATCAAATCGTTCCTTGAGATCCGACCAAATTGCGTGTGCACTTGACCGGAATAATACTCCACTTAGCAAATCGCGACTCACATTGTGCATTATCCACGATTTCACAATAGCATTGCAGCGATCCCATAGATTTGCATGAGTGTCTCCATAAGTATCACGCGTCACTGAACCATCGATAAACCCTAATTTGTTCCGTGTTAGTAACGAAACCTCCATAGCTTGGCTCCAGATCGTGTAGTTTTCCATTCCTTGCAGCTGAAACCAAGTGACAATGCTCCTGGTGTGTCCGATGGGTGTAAATACAGTGGATGATTATGATTTATCATCATTGTCGATCGATTAGTTACTTCCTCTGTACAACTGGCAGCTTCATCTCCGGCCATGACTGTTTAGAACTCCGGCGAGCAATTGATTTTTCCGGTTAGAAAATTTTGAGAAACAACCGATGAATCTCTTGTTTTCAACAATTTCAGTGAAAACCTTTAGATTCAATTGTCTTCAAGCTCTGATACCATTTCAATTTTGTGGATCTGAGATCAACAATCTCTCTTACAGAGAGAAGAAATGAAGAAGAGAGAAAAGAGCTACTCTCATTACTGTGCGAAGAAGAAATAATGTCTGTACAAGCTACAGTGATCCAGCTACAGTAATAACCACCTAATTACAGTAATAACCGCCTAACTACTAACTATAGTTAACTACTAATTACTAACTACAATTAAGTTAACCTGGGTCATGACCATTATATGGCTCATTAATTTCTTTCAACGACAATATGCTTAGTGTAGAGGAATATATATACCTGAATCAGCAAAGTTCGACAGTTGCTTCAGAACTTTCTAGGATAATTATGTGGGGTAAATTTCACAAATGGTCATATAACTATCGTTTTTTTTCACCAAAGTCATATAACTTGGTTTTCTCACATAAAAATCATAAAATTTTCACTAACTCACACAAAAATCATACTGGTCAGAAAATAAATTTTCCGGTAGTATTTCCTTATTTTATGTTTTTTTATTTTTATTTTCAGTCTAATAAATAATTACCCAATTAAAATAGAAGAAATAAGAGTATATTTTTAGCCGCTCCTAAAAATAATAGCCGATAAAATATATGTGTATTAAATACATATAGCATACACATTCTACATATATTTTGGCTAGCAAATGCAATTAGTTTCGGCCGGCCGGTTGATTTTATATATTTTTCATAAAATAAGAATGACCGAAACCAGCCTGACCCACACCATATACATAAGTTAAAATAATACTAAACGTTAATTCTTCCCCCATAAAAGATTTAGTTCGGAATTCATGAGATTCTGACAAAAAAACAAGGAAATAAAAGATATAATTAGAGAGCACTTGAAATAAAAATGCTATCAATATGAATAAAAATCTCGAAAAGTAAAATAAAGATAGAAGTATTATGTTTTGAAGGATTTACTATTCACTTTTAGTATTATTTTAATTTATATTTTGAGTATTGGGTCGGGTGGGGCAGGTCGGATTGAGTTTAATTGGATTATTATTTATTAGACTGAAAGTAAAAAAATAAAAACCCACAAAATAAGAAAATACTACTAAAAATTATATTTTTCAATCACTATGATTTTTGTGTGAGTTAGTAAGAGTTTTATTATTTTTGTGTGAGAAATCATAATTATGTGATTTTGATGAAAAAGTGAGTTTTTTTATTAATATTGTCCCTTATCTTTGAGAGTAGGTCTATTTCGGTCCTTGAAATATAAACCTGAGCATATTTAGTCCCTTAAGTATGCTAAATTGGAGCACTTTTAGTCTCATTGACAGAGTCTGTTCAAAAACTAACGGTGCTAACAAACTCTGATTCATGAATCAAAATCTTCTGCTCTGAAGCAAAACGTTTCCTCTCCTTTTATTGGATAACGCAAATTATCACTTTAGTTCCTCATTTTTAGATAATGTCTTCTAAAATTTTACCTTGAAATATCCCTTCTGGGCCAGTTTTCAATGAGAAAATGACACTGTATAGCAGTTGTAAAAATAATAGCTGAAAAATGTACAAAAAATTGTATATTATTTTGTATATATCTATATACATTTTGTATGTTAATATACAAGAATTATACAAATTTTATATACTTTTTCGGCTCCAGATATAAATAGTTTCTGGTGCGAACTAAAAGTGATAATACAATCTGGTTATTTGTTTGCTTCAATAATATGCCTAGAAGTGATCTTGACAGCTCTATTTTTTCAAATTTTAACTTTCCTTTTTGAAAAAATCAATCGAAATTCTTAAAAGTAAAAGTTTCAACGTTCAAATCTTAAATTTATCAGGTATGTACTATTAGTGGGTGTTGGTTTATAAAATATTCTCAATAAGTAAATTAAAAAGTCAGTGAGTGCCGAAACCAACCCCATAATTGTTCTTGAACACATTCTGTTAGTGAGACTAAATGTGCTCCACTTTAACATACTTAAGGGACTAAATATGGTCAGGGTTATATTTGAGGGACCAAAATAGACCTACCCTCAAAGATAAGGGACAATATTGGCCAAAAACTCGAAAAAAGTCATAGTTATATGATTTTTGTCTGAGAAAAGAAAATTATATGTCTTTGGTGAGAAAAAGTCATATATAATTTATAATTATATGACTATTTATGAAATTTACCTTAATTATGTGGAAACGTCTCTTTAGAACTTTTTGAAACAATTTGTATTTGGATATCTGCTACCCCATTTAACAAAGTAATTTTGAGTACATTTATTGTTTTTTTTAAAAAAAACTTTATCAAATAATTGGAGAATACAAAAGTAGAGGGAACTAATACAATGTACATGATAGATGGCGAACTAATGAGTGCAAGTCAAAAAGAAGTACTAGCAGAATTTTGAAAAAGGTGTGTATATGATACTTAGACGAATTCCGCATCATTCATATGCACATACCATTCTTGGGAGAAGCAGAGATGAAACATGCATTCCGCCTAATTATTTGATCTTGATGCAGGCAATTTAAGCCATATAGAGGCATATAATCATAGTCGATGTCTTGACCAAAAAATATAGATATTGGTTCAAATAATTAAATTTATGTACATAAGAGTTAATCTTAGCTAACAATAATATTCTTAGATAGGGTTATTAAAGAAGTAATAAATATCATGTGGATTTGGTCGGACAGTGGCAATATCATATAATAAATGTTTTGGAAATCATGACCAATAATGTAACATTCAATAGCAATGAACAACAATAAATGACATTTGCGTAAATAGAGGAACGGTTCACCCAATAAAGGATGGAATAAGTGGATCTTCCTCCTGACAATGAATGATAGACAAATTCTTGAATTCGAGTTATTCTCGGATCTGATGGAAAAGTATGGACAAGAATCTCAGTGAAAATGTGATGTTTGTATCATAGCAAGTGAGCCGAATCTTTAAGTCAAAGTGTGTTCTTTACAAAAATGAATATCACATGCCCCTACCATTGTCTCTTTTTGTATTTATATGGGATATGTTCCTAAGAAACCCTAATAGTACAAGTGCAGAGAATATCCACTAGAATATTCTCTTTAATATACTATCTTGAAAACTAGTCGTTACAGCTTTGTCAACGGTACTCGATCTCGACCCTCGACCCTACCTTGACTACGACTCTCGTTGACTCTTCAACCACAGACTTTGCTGCTTCTTGGGCCATCTTAGCAAACGACGACTTGGGAACTCTTACCTTAGAGGGTGTTTGGATTAACTTATTTTAAGTGTTTATTAGCTTTTAAGCACTTTTCTAGTTTATTTTGGTGTTTGGCATGATAAAAAGTGCTTAAAAATACTTACTTTTTAGGCATGAAAAGAACAAAAATAAGCCAAAAGCCAAAAGTTGGGTATTACCAACTTATAGCTTTTGGCTTTTAGCTTTTAGCTTATAAGTTGCTTTTTAAAAGCCAATCCAAACACCCTCTTAGTATTATCTTGAATACTCTAAAGGCAGATTTTGACCCATACATACCTTTGACTTTATAATCAGTGCACGAGATCCAAATATGTACTCCCTCCGTTTCATATTAAATGAGGTGCTTTCCTTTTTAGTCTGTTCCAAAATAAATGACACATTTCTAAATTTGGAAATAATTCAACTTTAAACTCCTCATTTTACCCATTTTACCCTTAATGAGAAGCTTTTATAACCACACAAAAGTCATGGCCCCACAAAGCTTTACCCCTTAAGCTTTTAAGACCACAAATTTTAAAAGTTATTCTTTTTTTCCTTAAACTCCGTCCCGAGTCAAACTACTTCATTTAATGACGGATGGAGTATAACCGATAAAATTACACCAATTATAAAAAATATATTTATTGTGCCAATCCTTAAAATATAAATTCTGTTTACATACATTGGCTTTTGAATTGCCGCCAAAATCGGGAACCATGCCTTAAGCAAATTGGTAGAGATATTCCTTACCACAGATTAAATTGATAAAGAAACAAATGGAATCTTACATAAATATCCCAAATAAGTTCCAACTTATCAACCTCTAGCTATTAATCATAGACTTATCAAAACTAGCCAACATATAAGAACTGAAAGCCCAAATAACAAAAGGTTCCTTCTCTCCAAGAATCACACGCAAACTTCCATATTTTAAGCGTGATTAGCAGCATTAGATGCAAGACGAAAATGAAATCTCATGGATGAGGTAGCAAATAAGTGATGAAATACAAAATATATATATATGCAAGATTCCAGAAGTCTAAGCAAAAAAGAACTTTTTTCAATGAGTATGGTTCAGATTCATTGAAAACA